TGATCAGCAGCATTTGGGAAACACAACTAACTAGTTTTTCTTCTCACGCGATACAGAACGTTATTCGATGCCGCAATGATTTCATTCCCAACGTTTCCATTCATAACTTGAGAAGAGAAAATGCTACCGTGCCCTAGTCAGAAACATAAATTGATGAGATGGTATACGTTGACTAGTTTTGCTTTCTTTTCGGAGTCCTGAAAAGCAGCTGCACGATAAATGAACATAGCTCGTAACACCGGAAAGCTGGAGAATCGGAGATCGGAAAATCTATAAAAAATAATTATGACAGCGAGAGAACCCGAGATAAATCAATCCCGTCCGAATTTGTGATTTCTTTAAATACTCATGGAGCCAGCGGAGGCGCGCCAAAATGACACTAGAGGGGATGTTGCCGTTTTCCTCTGGCAAAGAACAGAAAACACGCCCGCAAGTCTTGCAGCAAGATGGTGACATGATGAGAGTCTGTGTCATTATTTTGCAGCAGGACCCTCTGTCTGGCTGACTGCCCTCAGGTTTGAGGTCCACGATATGGTCCTAAAATGCTGCAGGAAAAACAAAAATATGAGCTTCGCCTCTACGCCGTTTCTGCAATTTTTTTCAAAATGGACCACCCCAACGGCCGAAAATCGGAAGAACGACTGTGCATCACGGTAAATGAATTCTACACAGAGAATGTAGGGACCAAAGCACGTCACTGGTTGGGGATTTCGGGTCGAGCCTGAACACTCTTCCCCCGCCCCCCCCCCTGAAGGTGGTGAGAGAGTGGCAGTGCCTACACGGCAGGGTGACAGTGGTCGTTTCAGCGCCCATTAGCTTCATTTGTGGATGCGCCATGCTTAGGCTCCCACGCAGAGGTGGTGGGATGGTGCAAGTTTACGCAATGCCTGTCTACGCGAGCAGATGTATTAGGTTGTCCGGAAAGTTCTTAGCGTTTTGGGTGTTTAACTTTAAACGATCATAACTTTCTTAACACTCATCGGATTTAATCCAAATAAGCACCATTCGAATCAGCACACTTTTGCCAATGTGTGCTGCAGTACCGCAGGCGAAATACCCACTCAAAAGAAAAAACGGTGGCGGCCGTGGGCTTCGAGAATCCACGAAAATCCTCGCGAAAAGGCTCTCTTTTGCCTGGTCTTAACTTGATAAGTATTTTTTTACAGCAAGGAAGTTCTGAAATGTTCTGAAAACGGCTGACAGTCGTGGTGAAAGGTCCGTAAGAAAACCTATGGTGTGTGAGGTAGAACTTCAACCTCCAGATTCGTTCAATTTATGGAGGAAGTGCATCTTTTGTGAAACGAAAGGACCGGGGGGAGGGATCCGGTGGCGGGCTGCAGCCGAAGGAGGGCCGGCTGGATCTACAGGGGAGACAGTCAATCGGGGTAGGGGGGGTGGCGAGTCTCGGCCGGAGGGGTTCCCTGGATGGCGGCGGACGCGGATCACTTGCAGGGGGGCGGCGGAGGAGGCGGGGCGGCGGGCCGGAGCGGTTCCAGCGGTGTAGGCGCGGCGTCTTCGGCAATGACAATAAAGAATCGACCTTTCTTTTGATATAGTGTTGCCTTTGCAGCTGACAATAATTTTCGGTAACATTTGCGTCGGTCTTGCTTCATCAAGTAGGGTTCTTGCTGTGATGGTTTGGCCTGGTGATGAAAAGTTATAGTGGATTACAACAGCCGATGACCACCAAACCTGACCAGAATTTTTTTTTCGCGAGGGTTCGGCTTTGAAAATTACCTCGGTGGTTCCTCCAAACTCGGGGGGGGAGGGCCTAGCTCTCTGCTATCCTCACTGTTTAAACCGGCGGGAGGATTTGGGATGGGTCAACCTTCAAAATCCCCCTAAAATCCTCGTCAGATATTTGCTTTAGGTCGACCGCTATGAGGCTCACCTTCAAGGCTGAAATCTCCAGAGCGAAATTTATTGAGCCATTGCCGCACAGTGCTTTCTTTAGCACTATTGGGCCCCCACACTGGTTAATTTGTTGAGCTGTTTCGATTGCGGATTGCCCCAATTTATAGTCGAAGAAAAAAATCGTCCGAAGTGCTCTTTTCACATGCTTGAAAAAATCTTGAAAAAAGGGGGTTTATCAAGCAATGGTGAAACGGCAATTATACCATCAGATAGCGCAAGAAATTCTCTACAGGATGTGCTACTGAGAAGCAAGGCAGAATGAGTTTTTAATCAGCAGTGAATGTACAAAATAGGTGCACAAAACGCTGAGAACTTTCCGGACAACCTAATATTACAGGATTGAGCAAGGCCCATGGCCGACCTACGCATTTCCTTGTAGTCCTTTCCATTGCGGACATCCGGTGGAAAGTGAAGTAATTAGATATGTTAAAAGCCAGCCAATAGTGCGTTCATTTCTCTGCTCGAGGTGTTAGCGAATGTAACAGGATATGTGTGTCATCGAGTGTCTCCTGAGGCCTCAAAAGGGCAACAGCGTGACTGGTAGGGCCAGAAAAGGTTCCGCTCCTGTTCGCACCTCATTAATACCTCAACTCCTTGCCAGTGGTGTTCTTCTTGTGCTTGTCATGATTTAAACAACCTTATTGATTATAGATGAGCGAAAGAATTTTCAAGCAAATTAGCACCATTGTTGCCCTGAGAGAACAAGGGAAATCAATCCTTGCGGTGACTGTAGAGCTGCAAAAGTTGAGTTTTGTCGACTATTGGCAAGGGCGAGGGTATGCTGCTCACAACCTGTCCTGCTCATATCAAATGCTTTCAGACTGAGCCGTCCTTGAGTTACCAAACTGTTAGACGTTTTGTAAGGAGATTCGAAGGTGTACGTTCTTCAAAAAAGGCCATCACACCGCGTGCTCTCCGTGGTTTGTGAACACTTTTACTGCTTCTCATCACCCAGGAGGTCGCTTGTTTCAGAAAGCTACCATGAAATTCTACGGGAAATTGAGAGATGTTATGAGAACAATAGTTCTGCAACATCTGTAGATGTAGTTAACCGCCTCAAGACTCGCGGGATTATCGTCAGCACTGCCCACATCAAAAGGCTGCGACGGCGTCTAGGATTCAAGAAAACTACAACCAAATATTGCCACACATAAGAGACACTAATAAGCTGGCTCGTCTCGATTTTTGTTCAGAAATGCTTGCGGCAGGAGTATGTTTTCTGACTGTGTCTTTACCGACGAATGCACAGTTCAAAGTAAGGATGTCATGAGTAAATCTTAGTCCGTATTTGACATAACTTCTATCCAAATTTCAGTTGACTGTTCGACTAAGTTCTGTTTCGTAAAGCAAGGGGATCAGTATTCAAGAATGCGCAGCAGGGCCAAGCATCCTGCAAAAGTTCACATTTGGGGTGGTATCTCGGTCCGAGGCACCACCCAATTCGCTATTTTACCTGGGAAACTGCCGAATTGACAGCGAATTGTATTGTAGAATTCTCGGAAAGATGCTATCTTCCTTTTCGAACGAGGGTTTATAATGGTTTGTTCACTCTTGTAGTCAAGGTTGTTATTGATTGATTATTGATTTATGAGCACTCAATCATAATTATAAACTACAGGATATTGCCGTCTTGTGCAGGACAACGCGCCACCACATAAAAGTCGCTATACGAGCGACAAGCTTAGGAGCTGGGGGGTCGATACCATGGCGTGGCCCGCGGAGTCACCCGACCTTAACCCAATCGAACTCGTTTGGGGCAATATGAAGATCTGTATCAGGTAGTCAATAGAGGGCACTATTGAAATACAAGTGCCCCAAGAGTTCAATTTTTTGATATTTCTCCAGGAAGCAAGGAGTCCGCAGTTTGAACGATCTCAAGGTGGCTATCGCCAAGTACTGGAAAACGCTCACCCCAGAAGTATGCGCTCAAATACACTTGGTGGTATCAGGAGGAGGATGGAGCGTGTTGTAGAGCAACGAGGAAGAAATATTATTGAGAATAAATAAGTGAATTGGCCTAAATAGCTGAATATCTTTAATTAGCAAGGACACAGCAGTTTGTTTAGAAATGCTCCACCTATCGAGGGGATATCGAACACAGCTTTCTTCTTCGATCATGACTGACATCTACTTGTTCATTTGATTGACCATTCATTCATTTCATTTGATTCATAAAGTATTAATTGAACCCACATGTCTTGTGAAAGTTGTTAAAGTATATTTCCACTGTAACACGATTGCGAACTTTATAAATGTGCTTGTTTTGTTCAATACACTATCGAGTACTCGGAGTAATCAATACGAGGCGTTTCGATCGATACGGGATTTGTGATATTGACGACACGCAAATCTATGACAAAACTGGTCTTGGCATGTAACAATTAATGTAACGATTAAGCATACAGCCACCTTATGTGGACTGCGGCAGTGAACCAAAGCCTCAAATCGTAAGAGTCGTAAGAGTCATGAAAGCGCGCACAACCAATGGTGGCGTAGTGGTAGTGCTCGCGCTTCAAACTCTGATGAGGAAAGTTCGAATCCCTCTAGCCATTGATCGTTTGCAAAAGTCACATGCATGTCTTTCAGCTGCGCTCCGCTTTCCTACACTCACATAACAGGTGAATAATGGATCAATTAAGCATACAGCCACCTGTGTGGACTGCGACAATGAACCAGTCATCACCAAATGAAGTTCATGCAAGGGGATGCGCACAACCAATGGCTTGGCGTAGTGGTAGTGCTCGCGCTTCAAACTCCGTTGAGGAAAGTTCGAATCCCTCTAACAATCAATCGTTTGCAAAAGTCACATACATGTCTTTCAGCTAGGCCCAGCTTTCTTCACACTCACATA